GATAAAATAAAACAATTTCAATTAAAATAGTATGTGTGTGCCTGAATTACAAGCGGTAAATTGAATTGAAAAAGGTATATTAGACTAGAAGATAAATTAAAGCTAAAAGTTAATAATTGAAAAAACTCCTAAGAGTATTGAGGTGGTGTTGTGTGATTTTTTGTGATGTTAGTCCTTTTCTTTGTTGTTGTTCTAGTATTTATAGTATGCGCTAGCCGTTATTAGTTGTTTATAATTGCCAACCCCTATTTTCAAAATATTTGCTAATGAAGGTCAAGATTTTGTGAAATTCATGGCCCATTGAAATCATCGTCTTGTGTGAGGCAACGCTTTAGATAGTGGTTTCGAGTCTTAAGAGATTTAAAGACCCAAGCTGACTTGGTCGAGTCATTTCAGCATGATGTGGACTAACCTTATCATTACTAGATCTCTTACTGGGCTTGATGCTTAATTACCTTAGCCTAACTCTTGCTATGGTCATTGTGCCCTTTTGATTAGGCATCACTTTTGTTTTAGCCCAAATAATGCCCCTCACATGCAAACGGCTGGTAATTATAAGCCATCTAGCACAGTTGATCAATTGATTTGTTTCTCTATGCCTTCTTGAAAATATAAATTCCCTCTTCTCCTTCCTTTTAGTTCTTCCTATTCATTTTGTCATTTTTTGACCCTTAAGATTTTATTCGTCCTTGCCTCCGCTGCTTTGTTTCGATTGGCCTCTTCCTTTATTACTACCAATTCTAATGTTACTCAAACTAGAGTTCTAGTCTCTACCTTGCCTATAAGGCTGCACAAAAATTTGACTCAACAAGATTCGGCCTAACTTAAAGTCTTGTCATTTTCATGAAAGGATTGAGTTAAGCAACTCATAGTCTAGTCTGATCCTAATATAACCTGAAGCTGAACAGGACCAGACTAGTCCAGTAGGACTAGGAGACTGATCCCAATCTTATTTAACTTTTCACTTTTTTCCTCGTTTTCATTTATGAAATGTAGTAATTTATTTCAACATAATAAACTCAATTAACATAATAAAATTACTTACAATTATATAAAATTTATCACAATAATAACAATTATAAGTTCACAACAATCTCCAACAACAAAAAAAGTATTTCATTTACAATATAAACTATTCAAATTAAACAACTTTTAACGAAATTAAACAATTTTCAACATGTTTAAAGTCCATCACATCAAGTTAACAATAAATATCACCAATAAAAGGAAAAGATTGAGATTGGTTAATGCTAAAATTTTGCTCAATATTCATGATTTGACAAGTATAAAACACAAAAAATATTAATTATTATTATAATTAACTTATTGTAATAATAATTAATAGATTAATTATAATTATATTAAATAAATTTATAGGATCAGATCGGACTAAATAGTTCAGATGCTTGATTTCTTGTTCAATTCAACCCGAAAAGAGTTTGATCTTTTTGGTACTTAAAGATCAATTTTTATTTAGACCAAATAAGATTGGGTTTGTCTCGAGTTGGACTGAATTGCACTGGATTGAAGGACTTTTATACGGCTCTACTTGCCCGAATCTTGGCCATTGGATGAAATCCCCTTAACGCATTTCTTTTCTTTTCTTTTTTCGCTTGTAATTTAGAAGCATTTCATGGAGAATCACGAAGAATAGAGAAGCCGGATAGACTTCTCACGTTTTAAGATAGATCACAAAGCAAGTAAATCTTGGATGATCACGAATGAATTTCGAACAGAGAATAAGAGAAGCAACGGAAACTGATAGCTTACACCTACCATGCGTGTACTTTCATAGTCAAACTTAACGGTCAACGTTTTTAAAAATTAATGATAGTGTGAAATTACCTTTTTTTTTTTAAATTCAGGACAATATGATCCCAAAAAAAATTAAAATACCAGTTATCTCTCACGAAAAATTTTTGGAACATTTTTGTCATATCACCCGGTGTCAAATATGAAAAGTGTAAGTAATCTGGGAAAAAACGACCTCGATCGCTGAGCCGGACTGCAAAAACTACAAAATGTTGAGTCAAGTACTGAAAGTGACGCCGTTGGGTTGAAAAATAAAAATTGCCAAGCTCCTCTGGAAATAACAATAAAAATGATTATGGTGATAATAATATTATTATTATATTATTAGTGTAAGTAATTGTTACATCAATGAATATATGGACAATTTTGGCTGGCGGGTTCATGCACATCCAACTGTACCATATAGTCCGCTTTATCCTTCTTTCACGGCCACCACAAAACTCCAGATCGACGCTCCACATTTCATCAAATATCTCCTCCAAGCTGTAAATTACACTTTGACAATAATATTTTATTTTTTTAAAAAAATATTATTTATTCAGTCTCTGCAATTTGCATCCACTTATAACTCATTTTCTAAAATTTAATTATCTAACTCAGCCCCTCAAACTTCAGTTGTTTAATTTGATGGTCCCTGTAATTTAAAAAAATTATCTAATACGCCAATGGCTGCTTGCAAGTGAGTCCTAACAAAGTAAGAACCAACTAAGAAAGAGAGTAAAAAACATCGAGAATTGAATTGTTCCACTGATTTGAGTTTCATGGAGAAAGGTATAGTTAAGTCAAAATTATATGAGTTAAATGATTAATTTCTTTCTTTTATTTTTTATTTTTTGATTAAAGCAGGTATACTTGTGTATGGAGTAGTAATAAAGTAACAATGGTTGTCCATCGTTAAAAAAGAAGTGGTTAGAATCATATTTACTAAAATAGTTTTAATTGGGTATGGTAACATTCACCAATTTTCATACTCACATTTTCCAATCAACCTTATTCGTGTTGATTCCAAATATGAGTCTTATTTTGACCCAAAATCAATCTGCTTGTTGATCAAAATATGTTGTGAGGTAAGATTTATAATTCTCATCCCAAACACGCTTGATAACATTTAAATCCACTTGAATTAAAAGATAGACACAAAAACATGAGTGTGGCTTCTCTATCTTAATATTTGACTCATGCTCTTCGATCAAATGTGATTTGAACTGTTCATTAAAAAATGCCTATAATCTTTGAAATTTGGGTATAGTTGAAATTTTACGATTTATTCATGGTACTTAGAGGGAACAATATTTGTTATTCAACGCATCTGAATCAACGTTGAAAAGGCAGAAGACTTGAAGATGTTTATTGATTTATATCAATGGATTTAGATATGATTTGGTTACATCCCTTGACATTTTATTATTAGAATGTTCAGGTGTAAATAGACTTGAGCCACGCCTTTTGATCAAATGGCTCATTTGTCTTAATATTTGATCCATATCCTTTGTTTATATGGGATTTGAACTGTTCATTAAGTAAACGTAGATAATTTTTGAAATTTAGGTCATACGTGAAATTTGGGTATAATTGAAGTTTTGCGCGTGTATTCATAGCACCTAGAGAGAGTAATATTTGTTATTCAATGCATCTAAATCAATGTTGAAAAGGTAAAAAACTTGAAGATTTTTAATAATTTATAGCAATGGTTTTGTGTACGATTTGTTTACATCCCCTCTCACGTTTTATTATCAGGATGTCTGAGCGTCAATGTTCTTGAGCCATGCCCTTTGTTCAAATGGCTTCTTTATCTTAATATTTCACCCATATCCTTTGTTCATATGTGAAATGCAAATAATATTTGAAATTTAGTTTATAAGTGAAATTCTACACGCTTATTCAAAACACTTAGAGATAACAATATTTGTTATTTAACACATTTGAATCAATGTTTAAAAGGCAAAAAAAATTACAAAGATCTTTAGTAATTTATAGCAGTGAAATTTGATATGATTTGTTTTCATCCCCTCTCAAGTCTTATTATCAAGATGTACAAGTGTCAATGGACTTGAGCCCTGTCAATGTTCAAATGGCTCCTCTATCTTAATATTTGACCCATATTGTTTGTCCAAATATGACTTGAACTGTTCATTAAGTAAATGTAGACAATCTTTAGAATTTAGGTTACAATTAAAATTTTATACAGCTATTCATAGCATCTAGACAGAACAATATTTATCATTCAACGTATCTAAATCAATTTTGAAAAAGCCAAAAACTTGAATATGTTTAGAATTTTTTTTTTGGTCGGAATGTTTAGAAATTTATGGCAACTAGATACGATTTGCTCACATCCCCGTCCCAAGTCTTGCTAGGATACCATAGTGTCGATGGACTTGAGTTTATACAGAAAGTTCACGGATAAAGTTAAGCCTAGTTAGTATTTCTCTATGATTATGATATAAAGCATATTTTAAAAATTTTACCTAATTAAAATATAAAATATTGAATAACTTTTATATTTATTTTTTTAATTATATCCATACTTGATTTATTTTTTTTAAAAAAAATCATACATTAAGATTATAATTACTACTATTAAAGTCCTTATATATAATATTTAATAAAGATATAAATAAAAAATATAAATTTGAAAATTTTAACTAATATTATTTATAAATTATAAAGTAATTAACTATAACTTATTTCGTCATGGAGTAATATATAAAGAAGTTGAAGGCCCATGAACCCAAGTATTTGAGTTTTGAATTAACATGTGAGGTGACTCTTACTTTTTATTGTTTGGGGTACTCTCTCTATTTATGGGTTTTTGCCATCCTGTTAAAAGTGGTGTCAAGTTAAATCTGGGTCTTCGAGAGTAAATAATTTTTAAATTTTGAATTTGGTCCCCTGAAATATTTTCCCTTTTTTTCATTTATCGGTTGAAAAAAAAACTTAATTTTTGCATTTGTTTTTTGTCATAAAAATTTAATTTCAGCATTTAAGTGCTACATTTTGTAGTATTTTCTTTTTCTGTTTTTCCGTAAAGTGTACCAACGAGAAGATGGAAGTCTGAATATCATAATTATTTCGTGGAGGACAAGTGGACCCCACATGTATCTGTCTTTCTCACCCGCCTCTAGCCCTTTACCGTACCCCGTCCCAGGCTGTTTGTCCGCATGACGCGTTTGTTATAAATAGACCTCTCTGCTTGTCACGGACTACCACCACACCTCCTAGCGCCGCCGCAGCCACAACTGGAGCCGTCGCATTTAGTCCCAGACCGGAGTTCCAATCTTGTATGGCAGTGAGCTTACTGGCACATGAGGTATCTGACCTCTGCCTCGGCAAGCCGGCGCTGAAGCCGCTTCCTCTGTCAGCCACCGTCGCCGACGCCTTGGCCGCCCTCAAGACCTCCGACGACAACTTCATCAGCGTCTGGAACTGCAGCGATCACTCCATCGTCGATAGAATCGGCTTTGCTGAGGAAAACGACGACCTGGGCTGCCGATGCGTCGGCAAATTGTGCATGGTCGATGTTATTTGCTTCCTGTGCAGAGAGGAGAATCTTTTGTCTCCATCGGCTGCTCTGAAGGCGCCTGTCTCTGCGATTCTGCCTAAGGGTCCAGGTCTCGTGATGCATATTGACCCATCTTCTAGGTACTTCACGCATACCATATGATTTGTATTGGAACTGTCCCCCCCCCCTTCCTTCTTTCTGATTCTTCAGGAGTTTGGTGGTTTTCTTTATTTTAATTTTCAGTTTGTTTACTGTTTATCACGTGAGACTTCTGGGGAATTTTAATTGCTTGGTTGAAACTTGAAAAGCAAGCTGTTCTGCTTCTTTGCAATTTTTCCAATTCCAATTATTGACTCGGTCCAGCTGGAACAATGTCGCCATTTAATTGCGCGTTAAGTAGACAAGTTCAATTGCATCTGAAATTGAACAAAGTTGCACACTGGATTTTTACTTGCTAAGTCAATTTTTCTTATATTTTTGTATCATCCATCTTTTTACTGTCGGTCATTTAGGTGAATAAATAATAAATGATCTCTGGTTGTGATATCTTTCATTAATTCTTCATATTTGAGTTTCTAACTATACAATAACGTATGAAGCTCACGTTGGGACAAGAAATTTCTGATGGATTATACAGAAATTGTAGAAATCATTTCATGTCAGCCAAAATGGCTAGTGCCAGCACTTTCTTCTTCCAAAAAGTGGGGTATTGAATTTAGGTTACCGCTGGGTGATTGTCTGATTGATGAAGATATAAACCCAAACGCACTGTACTTGGAAATTATCTTTGTTTTGTGCCTTTTGGGAGAAATAGCTTCCCACCAAGAGGGAGTTTACTGTTCAATCATTCTCTTTTGACTCTTTGAAGCTCTGCTTCTAATTTACATATAGCTCAGATAGTCACCTATTAACCCGCCATTTATTTTGATCTTTCAGCCTATCGGAAGCTATTGATTTGATCCTTCAAGGAGCACAGAACCTCGTAGTGCCATTGCCAGCAAAAAAGGGCAGCTTTTCCAGGAGAAAACAGCATCAGAAACCCTCAAGCAGCTCTGCAATTTGCACAAGCCACATTGGTCGTGAGTTCTGCTGGCTAACCCAAGAGGATGTGATCCGTTTCCTTCTGGGTTCCATTGGCCTCTTCTCTCCACTCCCTGCTCTCTCCATAGACACTCTTGGCATTATCAGCTCCGAGGTCTCGGCCATTAACTACTACGCCCCGGCATCTTCTGCCATAGGAGCCATCTCTCACTCCCTCACGACACAAACTTCAGTGGCCATTGTTGACAGTGAAGGGATCTTCATTGGTGAGATCTCTCCCTTCACCCTTGCTTGCTGTGATGAGACTGTTTCTGCTGCTATCACAACCCTCTCTGCTGGGGATCTAATGGCCTACATTGATTGTGGTGGCCCCCCAGAAGATCTAGTGAGAGAAGTTAAGGCAAGGTTAAAGGAGAAGAAGTTGGAGAAGATGCTAGAAGAATTCACAATCCTGTCTTCTGTAGTCACTGACTCAGCATCTTCTTCGTCAGATGAAGAGTCTGTGTTGTCCCCAAGGAGGTCATTGCCAAGGTCAGGCAGGTACAGTAGGTCCTTCAGCTACTCAGCCAGAATGGTGAGAAAAGCAGAGGCCATAGTATGCCATCCCAAGAGCTCTCTAGTTGCTGCGATGATTCAGGCCATTGCTCACAGAGTGAACTATTTGTGGGTCATCGAGGATGACTTTAGCTTAGTTGGCATCGTCACTTTTTCTAACATGCTTAAGGTGTTTAGAGAACACTTGGAGCCACTTGCTTAGATGATTAGGGGCGACATTGAGAAGCAATAGGGAAGAGAGTGTGAGTGAGAAAGAGTGACTATGAATAATGGACCTTCTCTGTTCTGAAATGTTGAGCTTGTGAGTGGCGATGTCAGTTGTTTGTTTCGCTTTACTTCAATTAATGTATTTCGTTTCCTCCTTTTGAGTTCCCATGCTTTCTTTGTCGATAACAATTGGATTTGTTCAAATCAAGCACTTGTTCTGCCATGAATATTCGAATGCTACGATCCTACGACTTTCCTTACCATTAAAGTACAATGCTTTATGCATATTTATGAATTATGATCATGTGCATGAGGGTTGAGTTAAATAGTTATACGGGGAAAAAAAACGATAGATAATATCATAATACATGTTAGCGTGTCTATTGTGTTTGTATGTATGTTTCTTTGGTCAAATGTTTTTCTCCTAGGGCTAACAACAACAAACCTATATTATTTATTCATTAGTAGTTTAGTTAACTTGCTTTTAATGGTTTTGATTTGTTATATAAGTTTTTATTTAGAAAATAACTTAGAGTCGGTAATTTAAGTCAAACTCGACGGGCCAGCATGAATAGTTTAAGGTCGATCCAAATAAACTTGTCTGTTGAAGTTACTGACTTTATATAATGTATAGTTAATAATTTTGACTAAACCAAATTTGATTATATGAGTTTTTTTAGAGATAAAATATTTTAAATTTGATATGAATTAAACCTGACCTGAATAAACACATCTCACTTTAATTACTTACTTTAAAATAACTAGAGAAATGAATTGTGTAGAGGTGCCATGAGCAAAAGTCAAGACTTGTAAAATTGTTCAAGTACATTTCCCAAACTTTTTTTTAATAAACTTACTACACAACCAATTTTTAGAGAGTTATTTGGTTAAATGCAATTCTTACAGCTAAAATTACATTATTTGCTCCCTTTAAAAAATTTCCTGCTTACAACGAATTTGTAAAAAGGAAAATAATTTTAAAAACCTAATAAACCATAATATAAGAGGCAAGTCCAGCTGCAGAATCCTGTGGTAAAATAAATAAATAGAAACTCATTTATATGTAGAAATATATCGGTGTGCAGCCAGCCAGCTGTGTTCACAGTACTTTAATCAATGGCCAAAAAATTGGATGTATCATTGAATCGATTAACATATTAATTTAAAAATTAATGATTAAAATTATAATTTAATTGGCTAACTGCTACTTCCTCCATTTAAAAATATAAAATATTTTTTTAAAAGTTAAATATTTAAAAATATAAAATATTTTTAATCTTTCAAGGTATAATCATTATTTTTTTTAAAGTGTCTCTATTAATAATGAATTTATATTTATTGTAGGATGTTTAATAGGGGTGAATATGACAAAATATGATTAGTTTAAAAGTAGATAATTACTTTATTAAAAGGTAAGATTTAATTAAAAATACATTATATTTTTGAACATAAGGAGTACTATCAATCCTATATATAAATTGTTTTTAATTATTTCACCAAAAATAATAAAAAGTAATTAAATTATTGATATTATCTATTTTTAAAAATTTACTTTTATTAAATGCATGTTCTTTCTCATAAATAATTTTTTATCTTACTCATAAAAAATTATGAAAAAAATAAAATTAGAATGAAGTAATTTTTGGTCTAATTTTTCATACAGAATGACTTATAAGAATGATTATAAATTTTTTTTTTCCTTGAAAATGACGTATATATAGCTTGACTGGAACATTCTGGAACTCTGTTATTTTTTGATTCCCCTTGTCATATCATTGTCCATCAACCCCATGCGATAAAACTGTATAATTCCAATTTTGCGCTAATCCCTATTTTCTTTTTTTGGATGAAAGGATCAATTTTTTATTAATATAAAAGTTCAAAGACATAGGTTTAAGCATACATAATTTTGCGAATTAGGAATCCATCATTGTCGGTTCCTTTGTCCAAGCTTTCAAGTTGCAACAACCAAGCTCGCGTACGTTAGGGGAATCAGATTTCAGATAGCAATGCATTAATGTCTTGAGCTAAGATTGTTGAACTCTGCAGCTGAGCTCTGATGAAGTTTACCATCAACAAGCGCCACTGTAATGGCATCCTCCTCAAGATTGTTTTCGATGCTGAAACATCTTACCAATTTCAAACCCTGTCGTACACTTTAATTTCTTCTGCCAAATTTGGAAGTGGTCACATCTCTTGTACAAACTTTTGGTTCAGGAAGAAATCGATTTGGACTGTGATGGGATGGATCTTGCGTGCTTTATTTTTTTCACACTGGAGATACCATCCACGCCATCTTCTCAGAAGTTTTTCCTTGTTGCCCAGAGTCTGAAGGTATGTCTTCTACCTCTGTGCTAATCTCGAATTAAAAACCACTAAACTACATCTAAGCAAACATATATTATTATTTACTTCTATATACACCATGATTTCATGTGAGAAATATATTAATGAGCCATTCTTTAGGATTCTGATGCAGATAATTAAACCGTGTGGTTGAAAATTACAAGGGAAGTTGCTATAACATAAAAAAGTTGTTCTTGCTCACCGTGTGGATGTGATATGATGATAAATTAATTAAAGAGTTAATAAGAAATTTGAACTCTAAATTATAGATTTAGGAACAATTTAAATTTTAAACTTTTATTTGATACATTTTAAATCTTAAACAATTAAAGGTAGGATAATTTTGTCCTACCATGAAATTTAAACAAACACCTATTTGTTTTTTTTTAAACAAACGGGGTCTAATGTGCGAGTTTTATTAAATTTTACTATTTTAAATGTTTGTTTAAATTTAACGGTAGTAATGAAATTACCTCAACTTTAATTATTGAAGATTTACGATGTATCAAATAAAAGTTTGGAGTTTAAAATGCTTCTGAATCTACTATAGTTTAAAGTTTAAATTACATATTAATCCTTATTTAAAACTAAGGAGCAAGCGGGACAACAATTGATGAAATAAATAAAGCTAATGACAAACAATTTATGTTATGATAGTGTCTGAATTAATAGATTCAAATTTTAGATTAGAAATTTTACATTTTGAATCTCACATTTGATATCTATGTATATAAACTAATTTGTTTGGATAATTTAAAAAATTTTAAATGTAGAAAAGAGATGGACTGAGATTTGAAACAAGAAAAAAAATTCAAAATGATAATTTTATTTTTATTTTTTAATCAATAAGAAATAAAAAAGATATGAGAGTCACAAAGTATCAATAGTAAAAATGTAAAGAGAATAAAATGTTTAAACGAATTAAAATTTTAAATAATTAGGATGTAGAGAAAATTGAAAATCACAAAAAATTATAATTTAAAATGAATTTTGATTTGTATTAAAATTAAATTTATAAATTTTTGTGTATCTAAATAAAGAATTTATTTTAAATTAAAATCTAAGTCTTTATTAATTCAAACACACCGTACAATCATTTAGTAATATGAACTCCTCTTGTAGTGAACCCTCTAAATCTAATAATCACATCAATAAAGGTTGCCAAATTTGGGATAACACGTTTTTCGTTAATCAAACAAATTGACCATTTTTTTAATAATATATTCCGTCTAGATGTATTTACAAGAAACAAATAATAGTTGAAATCCAACTATAATTTGTTTATTATAAATAGGAAAAACATAATATTTATTCTTATAATTTTATCAGGTTTTGTTATTAATCACTACAGTTTTTTTTAATATTTCCAAATCTTTTAAGGACCAAAATCACTAAAAAATAAAAATTATAGAGACTTAAAAAATAAATTTCACCTAATCTTTTTGAAAACTATAAGGATTAAAAACATTAAAAAAATTATAAAGAATAAAAATGAAAAGAATGAAATTATAAAAATTAAAGATTGTGTTCATGAATAAGACAACAAGTAATATAATATATCATAATTATTTCACACTGTTTATTTTTTGTTTTTGCTTTTAATGCTGAGGGCAAGGGTTGTTGAAACCTGTATCTTTCCAAGTTTTTGGTTTATTTAAACTTTTATTTTTGTTGTGTGCTGGCTTTTTTTTATCATCCATTAGTAATTGTCTCCCCCCTGAGCTGTCAAAATCTATTGTTTATGATTACAAGTAATTGTGTGAATCTTGTCGCATACTTTGATACAAACTGACAACTCTTTAGGCCATAATTTAGTGGATTTAGACTGATATTCACCCTTATTATTATTTTTATTCTGACTTTGGTTAAGGCATTTGGATGTCAAATAGGAAGAAGCGAAGGACTTAGCATTATGAATATAATATAATTATATAAATAGTAATCATGGAGCTAGGATTTGGGATTTTAATGATAGATTGTAAATTGTCAACAGTAACTTCCTAGAAGTAGCATCACCTCCCATGTTAATATGTTTGTGCATGTGAACGTGTGTCTTCTTTTTTTTATAAGAAAGGGGTATATTAATGTTAGAGGTGAAATTTTGTTAAAAAAAAATGATAGGTTGTAAACCCTAGATAAATTTAAGAGATACCCTCACGATTAGGGTTTAACTTTGTGTTTATTGATTAGGGCATCGAATTACGACTAGATATAATACATATTGCGGCAACTTTTGTAAATTTCAGATTCTGTTAGAATTAATCGTGCTTATAAATTTATTCATTCAAATTTTTAAAATTTAGATTTGACATTAACAATTAGTAGTTTCTTATTTCGTCATTTACTCTGTAACCATTTTAATGAATATTTTATTTTTAACTTAGAGTTGTTCCAGGGAAACCTTGAATGCCGGCAGATGACATTTAATTAATTATTTTTGAAGAAATAATGATTTTCCTATTGAGAATTGAGACTCCACAGACATGATGTTTGGAAATGAGAAATGTTCATGTGCATTATGATCAAGAATGTCAGTATCAGAAAAAGAGCCGATAATCCAGGTAAATTCAAAAATATTAGAACGAGGTTTAGCAAAATCATAATTTTTTCAATGTTAGGACCTATTTAAGCCAGCATGAATAAGCTTGAATATTTAAATAAATATTTTTTTACAAAATATACGTGGTATATAAAATATTAGTTAATATTTTAAATTTTAGTTCATTTTATAATAAGAGGCTATATATTTGAGTACAATATTATAGATATTTTTTAAAAAATTAAAAATATTCATATTGGTATATTTTAATTATTTTTAATCTGTAAATTATCTAAAAAATATTTAAAATGTATTTTATTTTTTAAACTTTAAGACCCACAA